ACTTCGACCAAGTTAGATTTACGAGCACATGTTTACAAATACGACACTATTGGTTGTTCGTTAGTTGGGCAGATTATAAAAACTATTTGAAAAAGCAAGCTACATTTTTATCATTAGTGAAATAGAATGAATTTTAATACTGCACTAAATAAAGAATATATTTTAGTTTTGTATCACATTACAAATTCCGTTAAAGTAAAGAATTAGAACAAGCTATCTAACATTTACAGTATAGCTAAACAATAAAACTGCATATTTATTAAAGAAAGGTGAAGATCACATTACGAATCGTATTTGTGTGACTTTCAAAAAAAAAAAAAGAATGTTAAAGGAACTCTACCTGAGTTTTTTTACATGACCAGAGATTAACCTTTTCCCTCATATAAGCGTATTTCGACGGCTTTTTGCCCCCCCCCCCCCTTTTTGAGGCTTCAAACAGTGAAAAAATGCCCTATTTAAGCCCCAAACACTGGTTTTCGTTTTGAAATGTTGTTAAAAGTGACCATTTTTTCGGCGCCGTCCCCCATCCAAATGTTACATCAGGGGGTTGCCAGAAGGGGATGTGCCCCCTTTTGTTTGTGGGGTTTGAAGGGGGGCGGAGTACCCCTCATCGCCAAGAAAATTTTGGACATGTGACAGGCTAAAAATGGCCTCAGGTCGATCTTAGGGTAACTAGTAACCGACGCTGAAAAGCCTTTTACTCTATCTCAATTCATTGAAATCAGTTTTGATGGAAAAAACAATGCAAAATAGTGATTTTTGGCAATTTGAGACGTCCACCCGTTACCATGGTAACAGGAAATTTACGATTGAGCATGCTGTTACAGAGGATATGGTGTAGTCAACATTTGTGCCAAGTTTCATCAGTATTGAAGCATTTTTCATAGTTTCATAGCAGTTGTTACAGGAGACTTTTCAATGAAAACGGCCATTTTTCGCAATATGCTCATGGGGTAAAAGGTTAATGTTGTATTTGATGAAGGTTTACATCCATAATTTAAATCATTTGCTAATTCTGTTTTTATACGATAATTATACTAATTGTGAAAAATGACCCAAATTTGAAAAGTTGCAACGCTTTTAACTCAAATCGGGCTAAGAAAAGCACAAAAATACGGTTTTTAATTTATTCCAGAGTATATTTGTGAATCAGTTGCATATGTGTATGTTTAAGGGGATGAAGCTATATCTTCTGAAATATTTATATAAAATTTATCAATGGTTTTATCATTTATGAGAAATTTCTGATTTAACACACATGAATAGTGTACGTAAACAAAATAAAATGTAACGGAACAAAGTATTATTCTGCTAGATTTTGTATTTTTAAGTAGTGTTTTTTTTCTATTAGCAGTGATCTTACGCTTTTAAGCATTTGGAAGTATTATTTTCTAAAATTCAAACAAAAGACGCATAGATGCATAGCTTTATACACTTTTAAATGGTCCAATTCATATATGTAAAGCATCAAGCTTTTGTACTTCAGAAGAGCTCCTTTAAATTTTACATTGAATTACTTGTGGTTGTAGAGTAGTAGAGCATATTAATTGATATTTTGACAACGGCGCTTGGTTTCGTCTTATATTTAACTAAAGGTTAAGCAAGACTGTGTCTACATTTTTAGCTCACCAGAACCGAAGGTTCAGGGTAAGCTATTAGTATGAAAGGGGGATACTCCGGCGTTCGTCGTCCGTCGTCATGCGTCAACAGTCATCTTCTACTCTGAAACTGCTGGGCAGATTTATCTGAAATTACCTCAAATTTGGTCTGTAGCATCATTGTGAAAGTCACACTTAAATGTGTCATTTCATTTCATTTGGTCCCTTTTAGGGGTCAACAGAGCTTAAAATAGAAGAAACATTTAAACCTCTTCTACTACTAAATTAAATGATGGATGATCACCAAAATTTGTCTGTATCATTCTTAGGTAGTCTATTATCAAATTTGTTCATATTAATTTGATTGGCCTTTTTAAGGGGTCTCAGATCTAAAAATAGAAGAAAAAAAAACATTTAAATATTTACTACAGAACATATTGATGGATGATCACCAAACTTTGTCTGTAGCATTCTACGTACGGTAGTTTTTTTTATCAATTTGCTCATATGAATTTGATTGGCCCCTTCGAGGGGCCACTAAAGCTAAAAATAGAAATACATTTAAACGCCTGCTTTCACAGAACTAATTAATGGATGATTATGTAGCATTCTTAGGCAGTGCTTTATTAAGTTTGCTCATATTAATTTGATTTGTCCGTTTTAGGGGCCGCTAAAGCTAAAGCTAAAATAGAAATACCTCCTTTTACAGAACTTATTGCTGGATGATCACCAAATTTTGTCTGTAGTATTCTTAGTTAGTTTATCAAGTTCGCTCATATTAATTTGATTGGCCCATTTTAGGGGGCGCGAAATCTAATTGATGGATGATCACCAAACTTTGTCTGTAGCATTCTTAGGTCGTCTTTTTTCAAGTTTGCTCATATTAAAGGGGCTGCTAAAGCTGAAAATAGAAATACCATTAAACGTCTCCTTCTACAGAACTAATTGGATGCTTACCAAATTTTGTCTGTGGAATTCTTAGGTATTATTTTATCAAGTTTGCTCATATTAATTTGACTGGTCTCTTTTAGGGGCCACTAATGAAAAGCTAAAAGTTGGAAAAACTTTGAACATCATTTCCTACTGAAATAATTGATGCATGGTCATCAAATTGTGTCTACAGCATTTTGAGGTAGTCTTTTATCAAATTTGCTCAAATTAACTTGATTGCCCCTTGTAGGGGCCGCTAAAGCTTAAGTATCTCAGTCCATGCCATTTCTTTATACTATATTTTAAAGATATTCTATTCTCAAATTAAATATTAAAAAAAATGACACTGGATACACAGCTTCTTTATAAATATATCTTTCATAATGAAAGCAGTCTTGCAAAAGATTTCAATTAACATAGTATAATGATGGGTTATATGAGTGATCTAGGACCATCTTAATGGCGCTATTGTTTATTATGAAGAAAAAACCCAAACAATAAGTGTTGTGAAAGTTTATTAGTTAAAGTTGAGCTGAACTTGCGACAGAGCTGGACTTGCCTTTCAGCAAGTTCATTTCAAAAATAATTTCGAACACAGAAAAACAGTTGTTTCTGGTGAGCGACTCAGAGCCATCATGACCCTCTTGTTTTAGATATTGTACGGACTGAAATTAAACCGTCGTATTTGATTATTATTGATTATTAAAAAAACAAAAACAAAAACATATTGAATTGTTTGTTTCTGGTCAGCGGTTCATCATTTAATACTTTCTCAGGTTTTTGCCACATATATCTATATATTATCATGAAGAACAAATCGCAACTTTACGTAACATTTGTTTTGTTTTAAAGCAGTGTTACTACAGAAGGAAATGAAAGGGAATAGGGAAAGGGAATAGGGGGCATTGTTAATTTTGCTTGACGTAAGTACTATCATCTTAATAACCGATGTCATATATTCTTAAATTGTAACAGTAAAAAAGACTGTATATGTTTTAAGAATACCTCAAATTTAACACACGACCTTTTCTTTGTTGCAAGTTGCCTTTGTAACGACAAACAAAAGATGAAATAGTCTTCATGGTTGCCAAAAAATAGCAAGCCAAGACTAAATAATAGTGATGAAAACTAAATATTTTCTAATAATACAAATGATTACCTGATACAAACTCAAACGTTTTTAGTATCTATTATTTAACTGGTAAGTGGGCACTTTTTAATGTTTTGTTCTTCTTCTTTTTTGGAATTCGTTATTATCTATCTAACAGAAATAATATCTAGTTATTCTGATAAATGTATGTTATTGATTATGTTAAAAATGAAAACTTACTAGTTAATCGGATACTTTAACGCGATAACTATATCGTTAACTGTATGCAGAAACATGCCACCATGCAAGTGTTCATCCGTGCTGTTCTACAGAAATTAGAAACTTCGACAGGAGCGATAGCGACAATAGAATGTTTCTAATTTCTGTAGAACAGCTACGGATGAATAGTAACATACTTAGTGTCAAGCTTAATTTGGCTTCATTAATTATATTCACTTTATTACGTCACGACTTTTTCAACAACGCAGTTCTATGAAGCACTATGAAAAACTGAAGGCGAATATGAATGGAATTTGAAATAGAATTGACGTCTGTTTCTTCTATAATTTAAAGATATATATCGTTTCCATTGGATGACCATTAAAGCTGGACACTAAAAAGCATTTGTCAATTCACGTCAATCGTCAGGAAAATGTCCAACTAACCGGCATATAATTATTTAAAAAAACTCAAAGTACATATATTGTAATAAATTTCAATTTTTTTTTTTTTTAAAAATAGACAGATAAAACGTGAGGGATAAGTTAAAGGCAAAATGAGACTTTTTTATGGTGAATAAAACATGTGTAAAAAATCCGAATCGATTTTAAGAATTGTCTCAGTTGGAGAATATAAGTGGAAGCCGTGACAGATAACCCACAATATTTTGTTTTGAAGTTCAAATCCTTTACAACAGCAAACCTAGAGTCATGCAAGTTTTCTTTAAAATTTTGAAAATTTATTAAAGAAAGCAATCTACAAAAGTAATATTCCAATTTTCAATTCACGTCAATTACCAAATTAAAGTCAAAACATGCAGACAAAAATGCCTTTACTTCGTGTGTCACTACTAGAGATAGTGTCTATGTAGGTAAATATAAAATAATTCAATATATAAAGCCCATGAAATTAATAAAAAAGGTAAATTTAACTAAGATACTAAGCTTTGAAGGCGAAATACACAATTTCTGAATATACGCTTTTAATATGCTGCAATAAATAAAATTAAAATATGTTTTAGATTAATTGATAATTATATAAACTTTGCTATAGATTAATTCTAAATTTGATTTAAAAATTTGACAGCATTTCCAGTCCCACACGAAAAATAAAATAAAAAGTGGACAAGAAACGAATAATTGCATTTGGTTCCCTTCCTCTGTTTTCTTGTTCGTAACATGGTAACCAAAGTAAACAAACTGATTGACAAACTACCATTTCGTGTCAAGCTTGGCTACAGTGCGGTTATGGCAAACATCATAGGATTCGTAGGCATTGGGGTATCTGGAGTGGCCCTTCTTTTTGCTATTATAGCATTGGCGGCCGACAAATGGGAAACATCCGAGGTCACAATTTTAACAACCACTATTGAAACTAAGATCGGTTTGTGGAAAATATGCACCGAAGGTTCTGGATCAGAGAGCTGTACCAATATTGCTGATTTTTCTTCAGGTTAAACAATTACTTTATTCTTTTTATTTTATGATTCTTTTTCTTATTTCACTATTGCTTAAATTCATTGGTATTTCTTTAAACTTTGCACGATCTTACTAGAATAATTATAATTCAATAAACATTTTAAGTTAGAAGAACAAGGTCGACGATTTTTGTTTTGATAAGTCTGCGCTGGACTTTGAATCTCTTGCTTATTTTAGGTCGTTCTATTTTTAATCAATATAATATATCAATCATTCCTTTGAAGTACCTGATTTTACTTTTTTTGTACTTAATTGTAATATATAAAGTGGTCGAATTTTTTCTAAACATTAAAGGTTAGAGAACATATTTATTCAATGACTGTAAAGGGAGTCATTTACAGTGCAACCACTCACACAACAGCCATCAACCGGAATGTCCAAAATCGGCTAGCTGTTGCCCGGAGAGTTTGTGTCACGGGTAAAACTTTGATTAAGTTTTACTATTATTTTGTTATGTGGGGTGTAGATTCTAGAGACAGGGTCGAAAATCGGGGGTTTTTGTCCCCCGGCGATGGGTATGGCATCTATGTGTGTAGAGACATAACAAACTTGGAATGCAGGACCCTTTTAAGCGATTATCATCTGTATTTATAGGTTTTCATTTTAACTTGACAACGTAAAAAGGCATAATATCTCTTTGTGGTATTTACAGTCACAGACGAGCAAAAAAATTCTGCCAATGCATGCAAGGCAATGATATTTTTGGCTATATTCGGAATAACAGGAGCTATTGTGTGTGCAGTGCTTGTGATGTTTGTAATGAAGGATCAACAGATGCTACTCTTTGCAGCTGGAGGCTTGAATTTCGCGTCCGGTAAGTATATGAATATGTTAACGTAAACATTGATATATGATATGTTAAAGAATAAAAGTTGAAGCCGTATTGCATAGAACGAGTTCTTGTTAAAACGAGTCATTTCTGGTTGTTTGTGAAGTGCTTACACGTATGCAGTTATTCTTACATGTACATTGAATTATATATGTATTGGTCAATACAGAATTACTTCTCACTATCATACACAAGTTTTGTTATTAAATTGTTCCAAATTAATATCAAAATTCACATAATTGTGAATCTAAATATTGTTTGTTTTTCAGGATTTTTCTTGATGATTGCTATGGCAGTGTATGCTGATAAAATCAAATCAAGCGGATCAGATTATGATTACGGGTTTGCCCTGGACATAATTGCTTGGCTAGCGGCATGGGCAGCAGGTGGAATTCTCATCGCCTCAAAGTTTTTGAATAAAGAGTAATAATAAAAAACAATAAACGACAAATGTTAGAGTATTAAAAATCATCAACTCTTCTCAACAAATAGAATAACAAATCTAGAGTTTTTATATAATTATATGTACATGTATATTAGCATCAAACCTTTTTATTATTATTTTCATTTCATGTAGAAAGTGTTATCAATTATAATAAACATCGTCATATTAGTTGTAGCTTGTTCTATATTATGACTTGTCATTCATTTAAAATGTTTGAAATTTGATATCTTAATTTGTATGGCGTATAACATTTTAGATTAATAAAATTATTCCATTCAAACTTGCGTAGCGACTAATTCTTTCGTTGATTGATGAATATTGAACTTGCAAAAGCCATTTATCGTACTGTCTGATGCTTTGTGGATCATGTTTAATCATCTGACATTCTATAAATAACACATGGGTTTGTTGGTAACAGTAAAAATATCATCCCGAGGAAAATACTGTTACCCGAGGCGTAGTTCAGTAGCACAGGTACATGACCGGCGTTTGGTCTATAAGTAATAAACCGCTTCATCTGTAGTTAAAATTCTGGAACCCTCTGCGTTGATTTTTGATGTAACCTGTAAAATTGTCGCATCATGTAATGCATCGTGTGCTTCGAATGAAACACCGAATGTATGTTCATACAGACTAGTTAGTTTGTATGACTGCAATTAAGGCTTCTGTTTACTGAGGAGAGGGAGAAAATCAATAAATCCATAGACATTTTCACAAAAGAGGTATGTGTGTGCGTGAGCGCGTGCGTGCGCATTTGTATGTGGTCATCCGTACACTGTCTTAATTAAATTCCACTCCATCTTGGGATACCAACGGTTGATTTTACATGTACCATAAAATGAATTAAATCTTTATTAAAGGTTCATCCATAGAAAACAACAGATACAACATTTTAATAACGTATTGTAAAACACAAAACTGGCTGTGAGAATTACCAAATTGTAAAGGGAGACAACTCCTCGGCATACTAAAAGTACTTCATTTATGTACTGAAAAGTTACCTTTCTTTTCTATACTTATTTATATGATCACAAATAAATTAAGACACCGCTAATAATCTCGTTTGGAATGAACTTCCAATGCCCATAGCAATTATGCAAGAACACCCTAGCAAAGTTTTTTAGGTTTATCTAAAGGTCATGCATTTTTCAACTCATTAGCAGCTGTTTCTTAACATTAAATTCGCGTATATTTATATTGCAATGTATTTCTGTCAATGACAAATATTAATTTACATGTACATGTCAGTCTGATTAAATTTAAAGATATCAATTCGAGATTAACTTTAAAATATACCATTTTGTTATATAACATCAAGAGCTATTATACATTTGTATTACTATTGAGGTTGTGTACACATTTAATCGAGAGTCAATACAGATTGAAGCTATACAACGCCTCTGTATTATTACAATATACGAAACCACTTCCACATTGGTGCCGTTTGAATAGCTATCGACTAGTCATGAATCCCCAAAAGCTGATTTCAACAAGAGAGTTTCATCGCAGAATTGTTCAGAAAAAAATAAGCCGTGATAGGTCAAAATGAGGAAATGTCGATCCCAGATATCGAGTAGAAGATAGCGTACAATTTACAGTAAAAGGTGTAGACATAACAGGGGCACTTTATGTTAAATCAAAAAAATACGGAATGGTATCATAGGCATATATTTGCTTATTTGCGTATTTCTGTATTCATTAATACATTCTGCTCATCAACTAGAATGTTATTTCGCTCATACCATGAGAATAATCTTGCAATCAAAATGCTAGAGTAGCTTTTGTATATGACAATGGATCCCGTCGATCAGCAGTTCTAGACTTGGGGACTGGAGATAGAATGACTTTTTCCCACTCAGATGGTATAATACCGGTGTTAAAGAATTTTATGATTAAATGATTGTAAGAATGAGATACAACTATCATTCTTAAACTTATCAGCTGATATTTCAGCGTGACTTTGAACGTTTCATAGTTCACTGAAAGTATCTCACCACAATGGTTTTCCAACCTTTGTGGTCTTATTCGAGGTACCAACAGGACAGTTTCATGACCTCAGTTAATCGATCATACACATCATTGTATGTGATAACATTGAAATATCTTTAAAAGCAATATTTACGTTTGTTTGCTGTTTTTGACTTTATTTGCGAGCAATAATAATAATAATAAGGAGTACCATACTGTGAAAATTACTGTTATTGTTTTACCTTTCATGGTTTTCGTAATTACCAGGACTTTTAAAGACTCAAGTAAATACATAGAACTAAGCAGAAAATCATCTTTGAAGGTTTGTCTTGAAATCAGTTCATTACTCCTTATGACAACATTTGTAGGTATTCTTAATGTACAATACAAAAGTCAAAACTTAACTACCTTTGACCGATTCAGGTGTATCTTTTACGCCCCCACGAAGGTTGAGCGTATAGTCGCCGCTTTGTTCGTCCGTCCGCTTTTTGTCTGGGACATAACTCTGAAACCACAAGAGATATCAACATGAAACTTTGTTGGTAGATATATCTCATTCGGTAAATATGCAGTGCATAAGAACCGTAAAAATAGAGAAAACAAGAATCTCTAAAGAAAGTCCAACACGACAAAATTGAAAATGTTGCAGGCTCGATTAGATTGAGCCTGCTCATGGACGGTACTGTCAAGTGCAAACTACCGTCCACGCCCCCCTAACACCGGCTTAAGCAGAATTCAACATTAAATATGAACTAGTACAATTTTGAAACATCCGAAGATGTGCTCATATGGCGGTTATCATGGAACCTTTAATGGACAAGTAAGTGCCATTCTATGAAAAGCGGCATATGGCCCCCATGTAAAACATGCGTGTGCCCTAAACGAAAAAACAATAAAATGGAATTTTGAAAGGAGATCAGAGGTTATGCAGCCAGCATATCACAGATAAGACGTCAAAAGACAAATTTAAAAAGCAGGCCGTATATCCTAAGGGTGATTTTATCAAGTGAGGATTACTGGAACCACCCAACAAGAAAATAGCTGAATAGAAAAAAACCTAAATTACCACAAGCACAACAATAATGTCGCGCTGAACGATCTTTAACCAGTGAAACGTTACAGATAGAGTTGGTGGACAGACATCTGTAGGATATTATCGTTACTTTATAAATGCACTTTGTCAAAAACCATGCGAAGAATATTCTGGTACAGAAGGATCAGATTTCACAGATCATAACCTTATAAATGGGTTAGTGTTGTGTTTTTAGCAGGAATTTGATCCATAATTGGTATGCTATATTTTGTTAATATGTATTTGGTTATATAGTTTGGAACTACATGTACATGTATAGTTTTAAGGTAATTAAATATAATCATACATGTCATCAATGCTGCTGTTTCAGTAATCACAAATTACAAAACCACTTGCAACCATCTAAATTTAATACATTGTTATGAGTCAAATGAGATTCGCATATACCAATAATATCAAGTTTAAATATTCTAAACTTTGTTCCCTCAAACGGCAATTGTCAAAAAGGTAATATTACTTCGCCCATTCACATTCCAACAACCTAATTGCACCTTTTCTCCTGTTTTGCCATGACCTCAATTCTGACCTTGTTGACCTCGCCCTCGGAAGCATTTTTCTCTCTGTCCGAGACGTTTACGCCACAACCTCAAGCATTAATACTGCCATTTCCATGATTGTTACCTCTGACATTTGAGCACTGACAGCCAATATTACTTGTGTACTGATTTACACTATTACTGCGGTTGTTACTATTTTTATTTGATGCACCATTATTATGGCTGCCACTATTCTCATATATACATATAATGCAACTATTTTTCCTCTAATTGGAAGACGTCCCGTCCGGTTCCCTGAAATCACGACCGAATTGAAATTTCCTGAATCTATTCTTTCATCCTTTGATTTGTCTGGAGAGATACATACATTTTCATTAATTATGTTAGAAAGTTTGGCTTTTACTTTCAAATCTTAGTTTTTTATCCTCCACCGTTGGAAATGTTTCAATGAGTACGTCAGGAACTAAAGAATCTCTGTCTGGATAAGTGATTCTCCTTGCAGATAAAACACATTATTATTAACTTTCATATAGCTTTCAATAAAATGGTTCATATTTTCTTTTAAGATTTTTTACTGTTTCAGGTAACTTTCCAACTACCAAATTTAATGATCTGTCAATATCAATAAACATGTATTTACTGCCTTGACTGTTACCATTACCGATTCGACCTCGTCAGGTTAAATTTCTTAATCTCATTCAATGACATTGCGAAAGCTATCTATCAAATCATCTAAGTTCTTGTTTAACAAGTAATAATTGTTTATGAATCAGCCGTGCGTATCCGACGATGCGTTATCTCCTGCTTGTTGACATTCCATTATTAAATCTATGTTAACATACAGTATTAAATTTACAGATAATAATTAGAATATTTTGTCCGATTAATTTTAAATGTTTTAAACACGGTTATACTGTTTTTTATGCCCCTGGGCACATAGATTGAACCGTCCGTCCGTCCGTCTGTCCGTCTGTCCGTACTAGGTAAACCTAGAACGGCAAGTTAGATTTTCTTCAGTTCTACCAGTACCAATAGCCTTTTAGTTTACACACTTACTTATCAATACAAAGTACATGATCTGGGCAAGTTACATAACTCTGGCTTTCATATTTATCAAGTTCTTGCCCTTTTCAGCACTTAGAAAATGAATAATTGCTAACTTAAAACGGCAAGTTGGAAATATCTGAAGTTCTCTCTATACTAATGGCTTTATAATTTCCAAGCTTACTTATCAATACAAAGTAAATGATATTGCCTAGTTATATAACTGAGTCATCCATATTTCCAAGTTAATTCCCTTTTTTAACTTTGAAAATAGGGCCTTGTCTGGTTAACCTATTTCGGCAAGTTGGATTTATCTTAAATTTTTACTAATTGCCTAATTTCTTTAATGATATCTTTCACATTTAGTAGGTGGATACCTTGATGGTCGTCTAATTTTTGTGGAGTAAGCGGTCTCTAGGGACAAGGTCAAGGTCACTGGTTTAAAAAATAAATATAAACATTTTTGCTCATACAGCCTTTATATTTCATGT